TATTGTAGCGGGAGATTGTGATGACTGCGAATTACTATATTAATTGACTGTGAGAACAAGAATGAAATAATAAAGAACTACAATAGACTAATAATTTAAGTAAAGTACATATTTGATGAAGTACGTGTTCACTATTGTGTCGACACTATAAAGCCGGTTTGCAAACAGTTACGAGCCTGTTCGTGGTACTATCTGTAATTCATGCGATGAGACACCTGCTATAGTAACATGCACATATAATAATACTACGATGTTATGATAGTGTTTGTACTATCGAACTACTAAATTGCACAATACTATAATATTTACTTCCAACAATATTTTCAGCAAACTAGTCAGCACGTGGTTTCAGTAGGCTGGCACATGTCAAAACATATATGCTTATGTGTTGTAGGCTATATGGGTGTTAGCACTAGGGGGTACAAAATTTCTCTCGATTTTGTTCTTGTACCCCTCCCCCTTGACCTAATCACCAACTATTCTCCTTAGTATTCTATCATGGTATAGAGCAGGTAGGTCTGTTAGGACCGTTCTTTTTCTAAGAACCTGCCCCTTTCGCTGCGCGTAGCGCGCCTCTAGTGCGTACCTTCTCGCTGCCCGTCGATCGCCCCTAGCGCGCGCCATATTTTCTGCCCGAACCGAGTAGATACTGACCCCGTGCGCGCCTCGGTTACTGCTCTTCATGCACCCCGTACGTTGCCGCTGACGGAGCTCCTCCCACCGACTGAGGCCGTCCACTTTGCCCAGGTGGAGACTGCGCAGGGGATTTGGGATGCTGTTGTTGCGCGCTATTCCACCCCTTCCTCTACCTCCCTCAGTCGCCTCCTCATGCCGTTCGTGTTTCCCGACCATGGCTCGTTTGCGACTGTGTCCGACCTCGTGACTCACCTACGTTCACTTGACGCCGCTTTTTGTGCGGCCTGCACCGATGCTTAGCTTCTTGTCGCTCCCCCCCCCCAATGTGGCTCATTGTACACTAGTTAGTCACTTGCCTCCCTGACCGCCTCGCTACTGCTCGCGATGTGCTTCTCCAGAAGCACCCCACTGAGCTTACTATCGATCTCTTTGAGACCGCTCTTGGGAAGATTGAGAGTAATCTCCTCTCCGTTGCCTCTGCCATTGACGCAGTGCCCCCCCCCGCCTTTTTGCAGGGTGTGCCACCCCTCAGCTTCCCACTTTCACTGCTACCCGCTCTTCTGCTGCTGTGTCACTTTCCGAGGACACTGCCGCCGTCTCTGCTGCTGTCTGGTAGAAACAAGGCAAGAGTGGCAAGATGGGCGGGAATGGAGGTGGAGGAGGTGGTGGAGGTGGCGGTGGAGCTGGGAGCGGTGGTGGTGGCGGTGGCGGCGGCGGTGGTGCACCAGGAGGAGGGAGCCTTGGAGGAGGTGCAGGACAGACAGGTCCGCCTACTGGCGGTGTTCAGGCCGGCGGGGGTGTCGGACCTCAGTGGCAGCAGCCACAGCAACAGCAGGGATAGCAGCAGCAGCAGGGACAGCAGCAGCAGCAGGCACCGCAGCAGTTCCAGCCTTGGGGGCCCCTACTGCAGTGGGGTCCGTAGCAGCACTGGGGCCCTACGTCGCAGTGGGGTCCAAGAGGACCAGGGAGCACCAGCCGCAGCAGTAGCAGTTCCAGCTGGGCCCCTTGCCCCCCTCGCCGTGACACCGGCCCCTGTGACCACTGGTGCCTCACCGGACCGGGCAGCCCCTGTGTCTGCGGCCGCGACGACCACTCTGCCGCGCGGTGCTTCCGCCGCCTCGAGGACCTCTACCGTGCCCGTTGGGGCCCTGAGGCGACCACTCCGCGCTGGGCTCGCCTGTTAGCCCGTAAGATTCCTGTCTTTGATCAATCTATAAATGATGCTCGTCAGTATGCTTTGTATGGTGATGTTGACTATAGTGCTGATGGATCTGTGTGCTCACATGTTCGTAGATTAGCTTGCTTGCCTCCTGCTAGCGTAGACTTGTGCCTCTCTAGTCTAGGTGCTTGTGTTTCGGCTCTAGGTGCTTGTGTAGCTTCCACACCGGGTACACCACAGGCTGTGGCGTCCCTGTCCTTCACGCTGGACTCTGGCGCGTCGCAGTGCTTCTTCCGCGACCACACGACACTCACACCGCTCCTTGCTCCTGTACCGGTAGCCCTGGCTGATCCTTCCTCATGACCAGCCGTGGCACGCAGCTCTACCACCCTCTCGTGCCCTGTGGTCCCCTCTGGTGTCCTGCACGGATTGCAGCTTGTACGGACGCTGTCAGTGGCAGAGTTTTGGCTACGTTCATCAGGGAGCCGCGCTCCGGTCTCTACGTCCTCCACACCAAGCACTCCCCCGTTTCCACGTCCGCTCAGGTCGCTGTGTCCCCCCAGGTTCCTGCGCCTCCGCCAGTTGTCAAGTCCAGTCAGGTAGTTGCGTCTCCTCCGGTTGTCGCGTCTGGTCAGGTTGTTGCGTCTTGCTCGTGTCGGTCTTTCACCCACCGGACCGTCTTGTGGCACCACCGTCTTGGCCACCCGTCGATCCCCCGCCTCCGCACTATGGCTAGTCACCGTCTTGTCTCATGTCTCCCTCGCGTCTTCCTGTTGCTCCCTCCCTCGTCTGCACCGCCGTGCACTCCTTGCGTCGCCGGCTGTCTTTGTGCCACTCCGCACTCCTCCTCCCTTCGTCCGGCCACTGCTCCCTTCCAGACGCTCCACATGGATGTCTGGGGCCTTGCACCTACGCAGGGTTCCTGAGAGGGAGCGCTACTTTCTGGTGGTCGACGGCGACTTCTCTAGGTACACCACGGTGTTTCCTCTCGTGAAGAAGTCTGAGGTGACTTCTACGCTGATCCGGTGGCTTCTAGCCACTAAGGGCACTCGTGGCCGTCGTGCCTCCTGTCTCCACTCCGACCGTGGGGGCATTTTTGCCGGATTCTGCGGCGAACAGGGCATCGTATAGTCCTGGACGCTGCCGGAGTCCCCCCAGCAGAATGGGGTTGCTGAGCGCCGCATTGACTTGGTCATGGACATCGCCTACACGTCCATGATTCAGGCCCGTGCGCCCCAATTTCTGTGGCCGTATGCGGTTCGCTACGCCGCTCACCAGCTGAACCTCCAGCCGCGCGTTTCGCGGTCGGAGGCTTCACCGACCAGTCTTTGGACCGGGTCCCCTGGTGTTGGGTCGGCCTTTCGAGTCTAGGGCTGCCTTGCGCAAGTCCGCGACACCTCTGCGGACAAGCTATCGGCACGAGCCATCCCCTTTGTCTTCCTTGGTTTCCCGGTAGCCTCGGCCGACTGGTCCTTTTACCACCCGCCCCTTCACCAGTTCTTAGACTCCCATGACGTCCGGTTCGACGAGTCCGTGTCCTACTACGCTCGCTACCCCTGTAGAGGTCTCCCGGTTCCCCCTCCCCCCCTTTTCCTCGCACCCTCTCTCCCCCCTGCACCAGACAGGGCAGCTCTGGCTGACGTGAAGTCCGAACTGCAGAAGAGACACACGTGCACTGACCTTGGTGAACTGCAGTGCTACCTTGGCCTGCAGATCACCAGGGGCAGAGCCGCTCGCACCATCACGTTGACGCAATCACACATGGTGCAGCAGGTCCTTCAGCGGTTCGGGCTTCAGCACTACACCACACAGCCCACTCCTCTTGCGGTAAGCCACAGACTCACCGGCCCCTTCCCCGACGAGCCCTTTGAGCCCAGTGATCCCTACCCAGAGCTTGTTGGCTGCTTCATGTACTTGATGACCTGTACTCGCCCGGACCACGCCTACCTTCTTAGCGTCCTCTCTCGCTTTGTTGGACCTGGGAGGCACCGTCCCATTCACTGGACGGCTGCCGTAAGGGTGGCGAAGCACCTGGCGAATACATCAGGCACGGGGCTTGTGCTTGGAGGGACACGGCCAGTTGAGTTGACTGGCCTCTGTGACTCTTTTTACGCTGACGACGTGAAGACTCAGCGCTCGACCCATGGTTTCTGTTTCAGTCTGGGAGATGGGGCTGTGTCGTGGAGGTCGACTCGGTCTTCGTCCAGCGCAGAGGCCTATCTACGCCGGTGCTATGGCTGCTCAGGAGCTTCGCTGGTTGACCTTCTTGCTTGCCGACCTTGGTGAGCAGCCTCGCACTGCTCCGACCTTGTTCGCCGACAACAGGGCCATGATTTTCTTGTGTCGCGAGCCTCGACTGGAGACCAGGGTGAAGCACATTGACGTTCGGTACTTCCTCCTGCGCAAGCTCCAGCGTCGTGGCCGCCTGGACTTTGTGGCCTCGGAGGCCAACACTGCAGACCTCTTCACCAAGGCCTTGGCGCCTAGTGATCACCACCGGTTCTGTGTGCAGTTAGGGCTTGTTGATTCTGTTGCTCGTCTGCCGTAGCCTTGCTCTGCATGTACTTGCACCTATATATCTTATGTAACCTCTTGAACTGGCCTTGCGGCCGTTTGCTTGTGCTCAAAATGCGTGGTGACGTTGTGGTCCACCCTGAGCTTTGCCTTGTTGCCTGTCTTGACTGATCTTGAGACCGTTTGTTGACCTGCTTGTTTTGATACCCCTCACTTAGCCTATGGGGGTGTGTCAAATGTTGTTATTTGTTGTATGCAACAGTTAGGTGCTCTTTAGTGAGTACAACAGTTTTAGGGTTTCCTACTTGTACCCCTTGCTTTGCTAATCGCAAACATTCCGTTGCATTCTAACTTTGAGAGACATCCAAACAAGATTCTATAGTAACACAAACGTACAGTAATAGTACGACAATACCCTAACTCGATTGAACGACTGTATTGCTTTTAAGTCCTTTTCTTCACGAAGTCATTTTCAAAAACACATGCATGGGTGAAATTGTTTGGTTGGCCAATAATACCTGACTGGCACAATTTACTTATAAGCAAAGTTCAGAACTCACATGCGAAAATGGAAAAGGTCCTAGCTAATCATGTACTCTGAAGGGGTACATTCCCTTTAGGGCTAATGTAATTATTCGGAAACGAGGTGTGGCTGCTTGGTAGCTGTTGGCCGAAAAGTGCAGCAACCCTTCTAAGGAGTGCAGAGGTAGCCGATGCAGTTGGAGGCGGCAGGTGCCGCACATTTCAGACCCTGGCAATGCCAGTCAGTGGGGCAAGCAATAGGTGCAGCTGCAGCACACACAAGGTCTGTGACCCATGGGCAAGGGAGAATGAACAAGAGTGACGACGTATATACAGGGGACAAAGGTGAGAGGGGACGTCAAGCAGGTAGAGGCAGCGAAAACTGGCAAACAAGAAGGAAAAAGAGCAGCAAAATGGATGCTTTTGTGTTGAGCAGCAGGTATGTTGCACCACTCACCAACACAAGCCATGGGGAGTACAGCAGCAGAAGCAGCATTCGCCGTCTTGGCAGTGAACAGTGCAGCGGCATTGGGTGTGCACACCCCTGTGCCGCCACACAGCATGCCCTGACCGCCCGCACTGCCACAGATATCACACCCTGTCGCCCGCTGCGCCGTGAGGCCCTCCTCGGTAGCAGTGTTGCAGGAGGTGGTGCTGGTGAAGCAGTTGCCAGCAGAGACGCAGGAGGTGGCGGAGTTGGCAGGGAATGTGCCCGAGAGGAAGTTGTTGGAGAGGACAATCACTTTGAGGGTCGTCGACACCGGTGGAACGCGATATGTCAGGTAGTTGTAGGCAATGCTCCTGTTTCATATTATATTTGCCAGTGTATGGTGGAAGGAGAGAAAGGAGGGTCGTGAGGGTAGGGCATTTCAGGCATGCAGTGTCACTTTGAAGTTGGGTTGGAAAGAAGTCTTAAAAAAAAAATAAAAAAATTTGCATGAGTTTTTGTGCATGAGTTTTTGTAGAGTGAGATGGTGCGGACCCCACACTGTGCAGAATTTAAAGGCAGCAAGAGAATGGCGTGGGACAATGTATAGTAGCGTAAGATAAGGGCATGAGGTATGGAGCGTTAGGTATGGGGCACGGCACTGACAGGCAGGTGAGTTTGGTCATGGCGAGGAGAGGCGGGGGCAGCGAGCCCTTGAACCAGTTGAAGTCCAGCAGGCTGGAAGAAATGCACACAGAGGGATGCAGGGGGGTGGACACGGGCGCAAAGGGGTGCAGTTGGGGCAGAAAGTGCACACATAAGGGCAGAACCTAGACGAAACATACCTAAGAGCAGGTTACCGGAGCTCAAAGCTAAATGCTGAATGAATGGGTTGTTGTTGAGTGCCTGGCAGATCACAAAGTGGAATGTGACCAGACGAGGACTGGGCAATGGGCGCCTTGCGTTGTGGTGGAAGGGCAGAGGAGCATTGCAGCGGCTCGTGAGCAACAAGAACAACTGGGATGTGAGGGTGACGTGGGGCACAATTAACTGCCAGGGTGCGGAGGGACTCACAGCACTGCCAGGTTGGTGAGGGCAGGAAGCCTGAGCGCAAAGTCTTCAAGGCGTGCCCTGAAGAGATTTGACTGCAGGTTGCTGTGAGGGAAAGCACAGGGGGGACAAAGAGGAGGCACAATGGGGGACACAAAAGAAGGGGTGAGGGGGGGAAGGAAGGGGCATGGGAAGGGAGGGAAGGAGGAAAAGGACGGGCCAGTGCTGGGGTAAAGACTTAGTTGGCTTTTTACGTTTACGAAGGTTTATGTGTACATGAGTGAACGAAGTAAAAATTACGTTTACATGCGCTGGCCCAAAACACCTTTACGTTTACAGTCTGTGAGAAACATTTTTGGCTCCCTAGACCAGTTAGTTGATTGCCTCTTTTCTGCGCACGTTAGCTCTTACTTACATCACCTTACAGATGTTTGCCATACACTGCCATGTATTTTGCATACTTTTTTTTTTTTGCCCTGCCAGTCCAACTTTACGTAAATTTACAAGGTAAAGGTAAACTCACGCATACGTGTACGTTTACGTGACTCAAAGTACCAAGTAAGGGCAAAGCGCAGGTTTGTAAATCTTGAACAGATTGGATAAAACAGTGAGAAACATTGATCAAAGGAAAAGGCTGGGATGGGCATCAGATGTGTTGGTGTAAACGTTTAAACGGAAGCGTGTTCACTCAGAGTCCTAATTATGGTGCCTAAATAACTACGAACGACTTATTTGTATACACATTGGCTACGCAAAATGACATCTGCATGCATGGTTGAAAAGTTAAGTCTCGGACACAACTGGAAGCTTGCACAAAATTGCAAGCTTGCACTGTTGAAAAGTTCACAAGCATGAGTGCCATGTGCGCATGTGCGGACTCACAGGTAAGTAAGCGCTGTAAGTTTGGTGACACAGCAGGGAGCACTCCGAACAATTGCTGGTTGTTGAGAGTGCTGACACAGGTGAGTAGGCACCACGAGAAAACAGGGGGGGGGTTCGAGCAAGAGATATTTTTCAGTGGGGAGCAGGAGAGGAGTCAGTGGACACAATAGAGAATTTGGGCAAAAGAGCACCAGATAAAGCAGGGATGTAATGTAAGACCAGGAGAGAGTGGAGGGGCGCAAGCATGGGAAGGAGAAGGTGACAACCACTGCACATTTTTCCATCCAAACCTTCACAAGGCTTCATACTCATTCTCAACGAGCTGAAGGAGATAATTAGCAACGAAAACCAAGGGCTCACATCTTGACGGGGTTGCCAGCCGAGTCACACTCCACACCCGTCAAGCTCCCACTCGCTACGGTGCCAGCTGTCCCCGCCAGAGTGCAGACAGCATTTGCCGCCCACCCTGTGTGCGTCAGCAGCGCTGCCACTGTGGGGTGGATGAGGAGACAATGAAAAGAGTGGTGACTGACCAAGGACCGTCGAATGAGAAAAAGGGGAAATGCCAGCAAGCGGGGAGCGTATGTGCGGAATGAGAAGCGAAAGAGAGGGTCGGTAAAGGCAGATCCAAAAGAGTAGAGCAGATTGTGCCCTGCTCTCTGTACCCACGCCTGTGTACGTTTTTTGGACAACCTGGTGTTATGCCCATGCCCATGCAATGGGGTGTCTTACTTGCAGCAGAGTTGACTGGCATAGCCGGCAGCAGGGAGCACGCAATCGGGAGTGCAAGAGCAGAGGGACTGTTAAGTGTGGCGAGGGACGCGAGGGAAGCAGCTGTAGGCTGGCAAGTGGATGCACCACTGGCGCCACACAACACCCCCGTGCCATCGGCACTGCCGCAGATACTGCACGTGGCTCTTTGAGCAGTCCCTTTGCCTCCGTCCGCCGTGCAAGCGGCAGCGTTTGAGAAGCAGTTGGTCCGTGCTGAGCAGGACTGCAAGGAAACTGTTGGGAAGGTTCCCACGAGGTAGTTGTTCTCGAGGTCCAGGTGCTTGATGGCAGTGCCTGGCACTGGCACGCTCCTAGTGAGGTAGTTGGAGCCCAGACTCCTGTGGGTGACGCATTAGGGGGGAAACGGGTTATTTTAAATGAGCCTAGTGAACAGGTAAGGCAGCAGACTCCTGGTAAAGTTGGTGCAGCCAGGCTTGTGCAGGATGATGAATGAGTGTATTTTGAGCTGACTCAGACTACAGCAATAGACTCGCAGTAAGGTAGGTGCAGCACCAATGGGTGACGAGAGGGAGAGCATACTGTGAGGAGGAAGGGGTGAGCTAAGATTGGGTGAAGGTATTTAGGACGACAAGGAATTATGGAACTGAGCGATTGAAGTGAGAGGAAGAACGATACTCAGAGGAAGGAGATGAACGGGCATGCGCAGGTCTGGCATGATACCAATGATACGACATGCTATGGCATGGCATGGCATGGCATGGCATGCATGGCATGACACACAATAGTATAAAGGTGGTGAGCTCACAGCTCGGAGAGGCTCTTGAAACCGATAAGAGCCGAGGGGATGGGCCCAAATAGGTAGTTGTATTGCAGTTGTCTGCACAACGGAAAGAGGGAGGGGCGAACAGGTGGGTGGGCAGGTGGATAGGAATCAAGGGGAATGGATGGGAAGGAGCCAGGGGAATCGAGGGAAATGAACGAGAAACAGGGAGAGGGGGTGTGCTCCAGGTACTGCATTTTGCAGGGAGAAGGCCCACACTGGTGTGATGTGATGTGTGAAGGATGGTGTGATGGGTGAAGGCCGGTGAGATGTGAGGTACGTGCAGGGGACTAGAACGAGTGGCGCACCAATTGTGGGAATAAGAGGCCAAACAATCAATCCCTCCAGAGTCAGAGACAAATAGAGGAATGATAGAACCGAGTTTTTTGTACCCAGATACATTTCACTTGGTTACGCCATGCCTTTACAATGACAGCTCAAGACTACCATCTTTATAAAGGATGTTGGAGAGAAGGACGCACAGACTCTGCAGGTTGGAGAGAGAAGTGAAGGGCGCTGTGAAGGCATCCAGGCGACCAGCCAAGAAGTTTGAGTAGAAAGCCCTGGAAAGGGGGGGCGTCAGAGGGGGGCGTGGGAGAGAAAGCACGGGGTGACGAGTTGTAGGAACAGCAGTATGTGGAAAGGAAGGAAGAGGGAAGGCAGAAAGAGGGAAACACATGAAGAGAAGAGGTGCAGAGCGATAGGCATGCTGAATGCCGAGAGGATTGTGCATATGGAAGTGAAGATGAGGGCAACCTGATGAACACCAGTATTTTGCGACATGGACCGGACAAAGTAATAGTGTCTACAAAGAGCAGTGCGCTTACAGAGCAGTGAGCGCAGTGAGCTTGGAGACATCAGCATGCATGGACCCAGCCAACTTGCGCGTGTTGAGGTTGATCCCCACCACAGCACCGGCCGGGCTGCACAGCACGCCTCCCAAGTCCCTCGGGTGAGGGGAGGATGTGCTGACTCCAGAAACAACAACAGCCACCGTGCACAGGGAGTTCACTCCCCAGTCCGGGAGAGGCACCCCCAGAGCAGCTTTGAGACTCCCAAGCACAGACACTGGAAGGTGGGGGGGAGGTGGTGCAGAGAGAGGAGGGAGGGGAAATGCTTGAGGGAAATAGTGAGAGGGAGTACAAAGAGAGAGAGAGAGAGAGAGAGAGAGAGAGAGAGAGAGAGAGAGAGATAGAGAGAGAGAGAGAGAGAGAGAGAGAAAGAGAGAGAGAGAGAGGGAGAGAGAGAGAGTTCAACGGCAGACACAGCGGCTCGGCGCCACTTCAACGCCGATTCTAACTCCTATCATGCCGCTAAGTTTCTGCATCAGTTCAGGCAGCGATGGTCAGTGGCTCTTCAGAGAGCGCAGTCGGTGGGCCTCCTCATGATATTGGGTGAGGCGGCAGCAGCTGAGAACCCCCCGGTGGGGGGTATTGGCCATGAACTACACCTAGGGGATTGTTTTGCTGTTTTGGAGCCACTGGTGGAACTCTAGAGGGATTAGGCTGAAATTTGCATGCTTCTGAAACTGTATGTCTGTACCTTTCTGCCATATCAATATACGGAACATTAGAGAGAGAGAGAGAGAGAGAGAGAGAGAGAGAGAGTGAGAGAGAGAGAGAGAGAGAGAGCAGGCCGCGAAAGATCACGGTGGATGATGAGGAAAGATCTCAATTTTGTTCTTCATATGGGCACCCAGATTCACCTGCTGTGGTGTCAATGCGCACACCCGAGCACTGCATAGGCAGCAGAGCAGCAGAGGCACTATTAGGCGTGAGTGCTGCCAGTGGCTCGGTAGTGTCAGGGGTGCACACCCCTCCATTGCACACAACCGCACTGGAACCCCCCAAACCACAGACGGTGCAGTCAGAGGAGGGCCTCTGCGAGGAGGAGCCAGAGGCAAGGCACTTGGAGGAGTCTGCTAGGCAGTTGCTGCGTGCATCACATGCGGTGGTGGAAGATGCTGGGAAGGTTCCTGTGAGGAGGTTGGAAGCGACGTTGAGGGACTTGAGGGAGGCAGAGGGAGTGCTGGTGATGGGACCAGCGAGGTAGTTGAAGCACACGTTGCTGGTGAGGGGGAGAGGGTATACCAGGAGAGGAAGGGCAGTTGGAGAGAGAAAAGGGGGGTGAGTAAGACGGGGCACACAGTGTAGTGGAGGCAAGGTGCCAGCTTGGTGATTATGAATGAGAAAGTGACGTCGTGCACAGTGAAGGGGAAGTGCATGTCCATGATGATCAGGTTGCACAAGTTGGGATGCTTACAGTGCTGTGAGGGATGACATGGAGAGGAGGAATGACGGCAGAGGGCCAGAGAACCAGTTGTAGTTGAGATATCTGGAGGGCAGTGGCGGAGGAAGAAAAAGTAACACAGCAAATGAATTCGCACAAGAGAAAAGTGACACAAGAGAAAACTCAAGCAAGGATTTGAAGAATATAGTCACACGCATGTAAGGCCTTGCTCGGGTCAGATCGGTTTCATTTGGTCTGGCCTGGCCTGGCCTGGCGCAACACGCTGCAAGAAATCCTGGCGTCACGATGCAATGCAGCGGTGCTGGTGTGCAGGCAGGAGGACTGACAGTTGCTTGAGTGTCTTGAGACCGGTGAGAGGCAGAGCCCACTCGCTCATGCGCGCATCCAACAGGTTGGACGCCACGTTGCTGCGGGCATGGGAATGGAGGAGGCACGGGGGTAAGGAAGCACGGGGGCAAGGAGGCATGGGGGCAAGGAGGCACGAGGCATGGAGATACTAAGACGTGAGCGAAAGGGAATGGGGGGCACGGGTTGGAAGTGGTGAAATGGGGGCTTGCCTTGCCATGTTGTGAGGTTGAAGGGGCATGGCATGGTGCTAGAAAGCGGGCTGGAGGGGCATGGGCATGTGGGGGATGATGGACATGTGGTGATGGCACGATGAATGGATGCTGGCCGATGTGTTGGTGAGAGCAGCAGCACTCACAGGCTCGTTAGTGCAGTCAGCTTGGAGATGTCAGCATGCAGGCTGCCACAAAGCTTCATGTTGGAAAGATCCCTGTTATGTGACCACCAAACACATGGCAAGCACGCACCAAAGGAAAGAGGAGAAATCAGTTTGAGGAGCAGCGGTGCTGCAGGCAGGGCAACATCTGAGCATGAAGCATGCAAGGTTGTTGTGAGAAGCAACCTTTGAGCATGCGAGCGTGGAGTATAGTGTGCAGAACGAAGCATTTACTCATTCTGACAGTTGCAGTGCGATGGTGCCCTGAAAGTTGAGTCCCAGTCAGGACACTTCACACATGCCCCATCAGGGATGACAGGGTCAGGATTGCACAGACAGCGAAGCACCCTGTGAGGTGAGTTTGCACGGGAATGGGGACAAGGGAATGGGGTTAGAAGGACAACACACATACTCAATGCAGGTCGAATCAAGAAAGAGTTAGCAGGCAGGCAGACGAGCTCACATGGAGAGCACGGTGCTGTTGGCGCTGCACCACACTCCTGGAAACGACTTGGGGTTGGCACTCTGCCCCTCAATGTTGCACTTGCTGCCGTTGCGCCAGTCTATGTCCCGGACCCCAAGAGCTGCCCCTACACTCAATAATGCCGACACTGCCAGGGGGGTGCACGTGGGGGGCGAGGAGGAGAAGCTGTTGAGTGAGTGGATACATGCAGGCTTGCGGGCTTGGTTAATGGTCTACTAGCAAGAGAGGGTGGTTGGTGGTGTGATAATGTTGTGGCACGGAAGGTGGCACATCAAAATATACGGAAGAACACGTGGCGGCATGGAGGGAAGGTATCCACATATGGATTCGACATAGAACAGAAGACACTCATGAGAGGTGAAATTAATATTCAGTGCAGCGAATGTCCAGGAAAGCCAGATTTGAAATACAGGGTCCAAGGACTCACGTGCGGCAGCAGGGAAGGAAGGGAAGGGGCTCACCAGAGGTTGCATCAAGGGGCACGGCAGCACATGTCATCATGAGTGTTGGGGCAGCAGCACTGTTGGGAACCTTAGCGAGGGAAGGTGAAAGGACAGGCAAACAGGTGCCACCTCCACACAGCCCCAGCTTCGTCTGTGGTGACCCACACATGCTACACTCTGTGGCTGTCCTCTGCTCCGTTCCATCCACGTTGAAGCAGCCTGATGCGTTGGCGAAGCAGTTGAGGCGAGTGTTGCAGGCTAGCGTGGCCGTGGGGAAGGTGCTTGAGAGGAAGTTGGCCTGCGTGTCGAGAAACTTGAGGGTGGCACCAGGCTTGGGCAGCGAGCCTGTCAGATAAATGTAGCTGAAGCGACTGGTGGAGTGGGGACGAGGAGGAAGAAGAGTTCAGGGAAGAAAGGTGGGAGAGATGATGTGTATCGACTGTAAAAAGAGTGGGGGAAAACAATATGATGGAAGTTGAAGGAATGCAACGGAATGATGGAGTATGGGAGGGAGACAGGACGAGGCGATAATGATACATTGCAGAGAGTTATGGTGTTTGTTACAGGTTGGAGAGTGTGGTCGTGTGAGAATTTTTTCATCTTCGTTTCGTTTCGTTGTTGTTTTTTGCTTTTTTTTTTTTTTTTTGTCTGATTCGTTTTAAACATCTTTGACAACAAAGTAGAGAGGGGCTTTAGGGGCGGGCTGTTACAGATTGGAGAGGCCGGCCATGGTCACAAGCTTGGCTGGCACTGAGCCGTAGAACCAATTGAAGCTCACAGCCCTGGTGGGACATGTAAAGGCGCACACACATGCACGCATGCAAACATGCACAGATGTGCACGAGCATAAAGCTTAGGGGACAGGAGTAGTAAGAATGAGTGATGACGGGTCAAGAGCCGCACGAGTATATGAGAAAGGGAAGACACGCGCATTCAAGAATACGACACAGAAGAGGAGTGCCTAGGAGGTGGCGAGGAGATTTTGAATGCATCAACACTTGGGACGATGGACAAAATAGCTGGGATGGATGAGACGCAGAAAACTGGCTGTGCCTGAAACACCGAATGGCAATCACAGATCCCTCAAAGAAGATGTGACACGACAGGAGTCTGCACTCACACAGGGGTCTGCACTCACACACGAGTCTGCACTCACACAGGGGTCTGCACTCACACACGAGTCTGCACTCACGCAAGAATCTTCACTCACATAGGGGTCTGCACTCACACACGAGTCTGCACTCACACAGGGGTCTTCGCTCACACACGAGTCTGCGTTGAGACATCAGATGCATGGTTGGTTGGTTGGCGGCACTAACAGCCCCCTGAGAAAGCTGTGGGCAGAAGAGGCACTCACAGGTCCTTGAGAGAGGCCGTGGGCAGAATAGGAGCCACAAAGGAGTCGAGACGCTGGAAGAAGAGGTTGGACGACAGATAGCTGTGCGAAGGGAGGAAAACACGTGAGGGGAACACACGGGAGGAATACATGGAGGGAACACATGGGTTGAATACATGGAGGGGACACATGGGTTGAATACATGGAGGGCACACACGGGTTGAATACATGGCGGGCACACATGGGTTGAATACATGGAGGGAACACATGGGTTGAATACATGGAGGAAACACATGGGTTGAATACATGGAGGGCACACATGGGTTGAATACATGGAGGGCACACACGGGTTGAATACATGGAGGGCACACATGGGTTGAATACATGGAGGGGACACATGGGTTGAATACATGGAGGGAACACATGGGTTGAATACATGGAGGGAACACATGGGTTGAATACATGGAGGGAACACATGGGTTGAATACATGGAGGGAACACATGGGTTGAATACATGGGGGAACACATGTGTTGAATACATAGAGGGAACACATGGGTTGAATACATGGAGGAAACACATGGGTTGAATACATGGAGGGCACACATGGGTTGAATACATGGAGGGGAGGGAACACATGGGTTGAATACATGGAGGGAACACATGGGTTGAATACATGGAGGAAACACATGGGTTGAATACATGGAGGGCACACATGGGTTGAATACATGGAGGAAACACATGGGTTGAATACATGGAGGAAACACATGGGTTGAATACATGGAGGGAACACATGGGTTGACCGTTGAATACATGGAGGAAACACATGGGTTGAATACATGGAGGGCACACATGGGTTGAATACATGGAGGGCACACATGGGTTGAAGACATGGAAGGCACACATGGGTTGAATACATGGAGGAAACACATGGGTTGAATACATGGGGGAACACATGGGGAGGATTTATGGGGGCTATACACACGCAAAAGAAAACTGTGGGGGCAGATTGAAGGAACAATGGCAGGAGGGCGGGAGAGCGGCTAGGTAATGCAGACTGTGGTATGAGTATTGGGATGGGATGGGAACCATGGGGGTCATGCTGTGCGGCCGTGGCAGTAAGACAGTTGGGCGGTGAAGCTGTGATGGAGAGTGCGAATGGTTGCAGTTTGCGACTAGCATGTTACCTCCCAGCAAACAGAGCACTGGTCTGTTGTCCTATCCTGCTTTAAACACGAGCATATCTGCTTCAGGGAACTCCTGTCCTGTCACTTGTGTCACACCGCACTGGGCTTACTTGATCAGCTTACCCTGAAATCCTTGACTCATACCCCAACCCCTAAGGCCTTACAGCGCAGTGAGTGTGGTGAGCTTAGAGATATCGGCGTGCACGGTGCCTCGCAGCAGGAAACTCCGAAGATCCCTGCCCACCAGGCAGAGGGGTGATTGAACAGCAGGGGCAGAGGAGCAGCAGAGATAGAGGGAGCACCGGAGGCAGAGGGAGCAGCAAAGGTAGAGAGGGAGCAGCAGAGGTAGAGGGATCAACCGCAAATTGAGCAGTAACAGACGCAGAGAGAGCATCAGAGAGGTTGGTTTCAAGTCAGGCAAGAAAACAGCGATGCACAAAGCATAGCACACATGGTCTCCAGGCAGAGGGGGGCGCAGCAGGGGCAGAGGGAGCAGCGGGAGAAGTCGGAGTTTTTGTTTTGAGTCCTTTACAAGCACAGTGATGGGCAACCTGTCGCACACACAGGCAATGCGAGGCTATGAAAAGCAGCACATCAGCGGAGAGGATCCTGGATTCTGGAGCAGCAGCACTCACAGGCCCACAACCATGCCGGCAGAAGAGCAGAACACGCCTGGCCAGGAGCCAGGGACGGGCGTCTGGCCTTGAATCGTGCACATGCCCCCCTGTCCTGAAGCCACCAGCAGAAGCCTCTCCCTGCCCGACCTGCTCCCTGCCAAGCGCCGCCGCCCCAGCACCCTTGGCCCATCACTGAACTCGCTGGAAAGAGGGTTTGCCTTGGAGGGTATTCCAAGGGTACTGGCAGACCAATGAGTGAGGGTGACGCCGAGAGCTGTCTTCACAGAGAGCAGAATACCGGCCTGCACTGCGTCTAAAGGCACGCCCATGCAGAAGCGAGGGAGAATGGGAGATGTGGCAGTGGGGGTGGTGGAGGAGGCAAGAGGCCCGGCAGTGTTGGGAGCACAGGTGCCGCCGGCACAGATGGGATCAGCCCCCTTCGGAGAGTTACAGACGGCGCAAGAAGCCAATGCGCGCTGGGTGGTGGCGGTGGTGTTGCATGTGCCTGTGCTGGCGAGGCAGTTGGAGGAGGCAGAGCAGGAGAGGAAGCCAGTGCCGGGAAAAGTGCCAGACAGCCAGTTGTTACGCAGCTCGATGGTCTTGAGGGCAGCGCCGAGCTTGGGCACGGGGCCGTACAGGTAGTTGTAGCTTGCTCCGCTGAAGAGGAGGGGTGATATGGGCGAAAATGGGGGGGAGGGGGTGGTGGGGGGGTGGAGGGGGGGTGGAAAGAGTGAGAGAGTGAGTGGGGAAAAGTGTGTGTAAGGTAAAGGTGGGGCAAGGGAGTGAGGCATATGCAGATAAGGCAATGAGCCAGCAGGCGAATGGGTGAGAAGCAGAGTGCAAGAAGGTCTCACAATGATGTGAGAGAGGCGATGCCCACAAGGGCAGAGGGGATGGACCCAGCGAACCAGTTGAAGTTGAAGTTGTTGTGATGGGCCAGGCGATAGGGTTGAGAGGGAGGTGGGGAATACGTCTGGACGGGAATGAAAAGCAAGGTATGTTAATTCGAGGAGGTATGTCATGTGAGGAGCTGTGTGGAGTTCTGAGGAGGGGAGGAGAGAGGAGGGAAGATGAAGGGACTGGAAGAAGCGTGGGCGAGCCGCGAAATCAAAGGGGGATGAGATGGGAGGGTGAGGGGGGAGCATGGACGATTTCATAAAAAATTGACACGTTTATGCATGCCATGGTTAAGGGGATACTCGGTCACTACTCGAGACTTGAGGTATTCTGCAAATACTCGCTCAGACTAGAAAAAGGGCGAATACTCGACTCGCGAGTACTAAGAGGGCGAGTATTCGGGGGTCAAGTACTTGGGGTACGGGTTCTCGACGCGACGAGTACTCGAATCAAGCGTCCCTGCCCCCCAATACACCAAATACAAGGACTCTTGTCAATGGGCCCACAAACATCCTTCGGAGAGGATTGACCGTCCACTTGTTGTTGTTGATGCCCCGGCAATGCGCCACCTTGTGTTGCACATGCACAGCAAGCTGGGAGATCTGCTGCTGGCAGGATCTGTCAACTCCTCGGTGTCAACTCTCACCTCTCTCACCAGACTGTAAACTGCACCTTCCTCCATTGTCACCTCGTTGTGTGTGGCGTCTCACTGTTTACCTTTCATTCACTGGGTGTGATTATTCTCTCACCTTGCAGTCTCCGGGTCTTACCAGCTCACATGCTCTCATCATCATCACATACCATGATCACCGCACATCGTCATATGCTCAATCGCACATACCCTGACTGTCATGCACGTGTGTGGGCTGTGCCATGCTGCAGAGAGCTCAACAACAACCTCTTCTCAGGCCGCCTGGACTCCTTCCTCACCCCTCTTCTTCCCGTCAAGACCCTCAAAGTCCTGTGGGTTTATCTTGCCGCCCCGCATGCACCGCTCTTGCAACCCTAACCACACTGCACTCCCGACCACACATTTGTTCTCAGCTGGTTACTCTTGCCTGCCTTGTTTGACTTGCCTGTCTTTCCTGACTTGCCTTGCCTGGCCTCGACCTCGTCCAACTATGTGACTCCTAATGCTGCCCTGAATCCCCGCGGACCAGCCACCTGCACAACAACTACATGTCGGGCTCCGTGCCACCATCACTCACTAGTTTCTCCTCCCTCTCTGAACTGTGAGCTCTCTCCCCACGTTCTTTTCCACGTTCTTGTGTGTCCAGGCTCGCTCTTTCCAGCCTCTTTCATTTCGCCATATCCTCTCCCTCCTATTTCTAGTCCGTTCGTTCGCATCATCATATGCTCACATCATTGTGTGGACTTCCTTCCCCCATTCTCTTCCGTAATACAGGAAGATCCAGACCAATTACTTGACGGGCAGCATGCCGGCAGCCCTGCCTGTGTCCCTCAAGTACCTGGACGCATCAGGGAACTACCTGGTGGGAACGCTCCCCACCACCACCCGCAGCTGCGCCAGCAACTGCTTCAAGGACAGCACCAAGTACACCAGCGGCAGCACGCAGCGAGCAGCAGCAGCATGTGCCATCTGCGACAGCACCGATGGCACTGGGGTGCTCTGTGATGGCGGCACGTGTGCTCCTAGTTCGACGGCTCTGATCGCAGCAAAGACTGGGAACACAGGGACGGCTGAGATGTACTGCGCGGGTGCTCCCATGGATGCTGCCATGGGTGAGTGTAGCGAGCAGTGAGACCAGGCAGGAGGGGTGTGTGTGTGTGCGTGTGTGTGTGGGCTGTGTCTGTGGGTTTGTTTGTGGTGTGTGTGCGTATGTGTGTGTTGGTAGTTCATGTGCGTGTGTGTGCGGGGTGTTTGTTTGAGGGTCTGGAAAGACACATGTGAGAAAGTGGTTGCACTACGAAAAGGGGGATGAGGCTTCCACGAGTATCTTCCGTGTGACCATACCATGATGGTCCATGTTTGATCTCATAGTCTATACTATCATATCAAATCACACCGTAGTAACTATGGTAACTATTGTTCACCAGGCTCCAACAGTTGTTGCCATTGCCCTATCCGAAAAGAACTGAAACGACTCATTGGACCTGTTCTGCTCTCATCTTTCGCCTCTATTACCCTCCTAGCTGCGGCGCTGCTGAGTATGAAGGCGTCGCTGGGAGTGTCATTCACCAACTGGGCTGTGAGCTCGCCGTGTGCTGTGGAGGGAGTGCCAGCACCACCGGGCGCGTGGTCCAACGTCCTCTGCAACTCTGCCTTCAAACCCGTTTCCCTGTAAGTTGTCCTGTCCCCACGCCGAAGCTGACTCATCCATGGCGTTTCTGCTGCTGCTTCTGCTACTGCTTCTATTGCTTTTAAGGCTAACTGGAGTGTTCTACAAGCTCACTTTTAATCCAAAGGACTGTTTTGAGTACGTGTTGGCACCATGACTTTTTAAAAGTCGGTCCTCTATCATGTTTTGGCTCTTTTTGGCTGTTACTGGCTGTGTTTGGTTGTGTTTAGTTTCTTATGGGTCTTACTGATTGTTACTGGCTGTTACGGGCCGTTACTGGCTGTTAGTGGCTGTTAATGGCCGTTCCTGGCTGTTACTGGCTGGTAATGGTTGTTAATGGCTGTGTTTGGCTGTGTATGATGGTGTTTGAGTGAGCAGCAAGCTGTCCGGGCAGAAGCTGGCAGGGAAGATGCACGCTGACATCTCCAAGCTCACCACCGTCACCTCTATGTGAGTCTATTCTTCACTTCTGGCGCTTCAAGGCTCTCCCCTGCCAACCTCACCACCCGCACTTTCGTGTGTTAGCATGCACACTTAAGAACCTCAATTGAGAAAATGTAGTGCTTCATCTGTGCTTTCGCCTCGTCCATCTTTGCTGCACTCACTCCCCTGCCACCTCCCACACAATCAGATTCAATGTATTCTCCATGACGAACTTTGGCCTACGCAATCAACACTATTCCTGCTATAAGTCAATGTATTCTCCATGTCGATGTCGTGCAATGTGAATTTGCACCCAACAGAAATAGCGGCAACAGTAGCAGCAGCAGCAGCAGCAAAGGCAGCAACAGCAGGAGTAACAGCAACAGCAGCAGCAGCAGCAGTAGTGTGAAAGTTATACAAGAGAACCAATGAGGACTCACAAGGTGCGGACTCTGCCAAAAGGGTTACAGGACACAGCAGTGAGGGTGCCTTCGATGGCCGGCCCCGTAGAAGCTGTGGTGCACGGCTTGTCCAGCCCCCACGTTGTGAAGGTCACCCCCAGCGCGCCCTTCACTGCCAGCAGCGCTTGCGCTGTGAGATTTGAGGTGAGGGGCGTGCAGCGCCAGGAGGGGTAATTGAGGGGAGGGAGGAGCGGCATGGATGGAATAAAAGAAGGATGCGTGACTGACGTTGTGGGAGAGGCTATGGGCAGGGACGAGGGTTGGCCGGATGGAGTGTTGGTGATGGATGGGGTCGAAGTAAGCATACTACATTAAACTTTGAGAATATTGTTTCTTCTTTTCTGAAGGTTCAACAATGTGTTACAGACTTGCCACAGCACAGCATGCTCGCATTCATCTGAGCTCATTTGAGCCCCTCGGATTCTCTCACCATCGGTAGCATGGATTGTGACCACCGGTTGTTCTGCAGTGGGGCAGGGAGAAAGGCAAGAAAGACGAGGGGGATAAGGGTGGCTAAATATGAGAGCAGAGATGGTAAGACAGATATAGCTCCAGCAATCAAGATACGTGGTTCAGGTAGAGGTGGTTATGGAGCCTTAACAGTGGTCAAGATGGATAGACATACATAGATTTGACAGTGATTTCTCAATATACCAGATTTCATGATACACACACTGCCACATCATGCCATGCCATGAAGCACTGCCGGAATATGCCATGACTCACCAACACGGTACATGTCAGGCGGGTCCATGTCATCATCATGCACAGTGCTGTTATCCACGTCCGGCCAGCAAGACCCTCCGAAGCACAGCAAGCCCTGCCCGTCCTGCGACTCGCAGATTGCACACGCCTCGACATCCCTCTGAGCCACACCGCTCTCCGCGCTGCACTCGCTCGCACTCGCTAGGCAGTTGCTCCTGCACGGAGGGAAGAGGAATGAGGAAAGGAAAGTGGAGGAGGTAAGGGAGAGGAACGAGGGAAGGGAGAGGAAAGAGGGAAGCAACAAAGACGGGAAGCAGAATGAGAACAGGAAGCAGAAAAATGTAAGGAAGCAGAATGAGGAAGGTAGAGTAAAGAGATAAGGGAGTGGAGGCAGACAATGGAGGGGAAGGAGGTATGTGAGAGGAAGCAGGAATGGTAATTGTGCTGTTTGAGAGGCTGGAGGAGGGGGGAGGGCGAGCCCAGGCAAATAATACCACCGAAGCAGAATGATTATGCTGTGAGACATCAACTGAAGGTTGGCATGGAAACGGGCAGCCTGAAACAGTGAAATTCTGAATGCATCCGATCTGGCGACAATAACGGCAGTTACATGAGCGCTAGTGTGCAACGCAAGAACAACATGGGATGGAGATGTGCCACTTTCTCAGCACGGGCGGCACTCACAGCAAGGGCGGGCGGCACTCACATGCGCTTGATGGCCTGGAGTTGGGAGAAGCCAGAAGTGAAGGATGCAAGGTTCTGGCGGGAGAGGTTGCCCGACAGGTCCCTGAGGCATTGGGGGAAGGGGGACGGTGGGTTTGAAGCAACGTGCTCAGGTTGCTGGGATGCGCATATTACTTTGTGGAGAATTGAATACCTCAGTTCAGATGATGAGCAGGATTAGTAGTTGCTCCAGGTGGACGGGATGGAATTTTAAAGCGCAATGGGAAGGGAGGATTGCGGAAGAAAAAGAGGTTTTCTGGCCTAGCAAAGGGATCTGAAGCAGGAGGCGGGAGGATGAGGGTTGGACAGAGGTCAAGTGAGAAGAGGAGGGAGCTGGACAAGGGGAGGGAGGAGAGAAAGAGAAGGAGTTTTGGGAAGTGAAGAACAGGAAAAGAGGAGAGGGGAACTAACAACGATGTGAGGGCAGTGAGCTTGGTGATGTCAGCATACACGCTGCCACTGAGGCCCATGGAAGTCACGTTGCTGCATGCAGCCGAGAGGGGTGGGACGGCACCACCAGGAGGGGTGGACGGGGGACGTGGGAGGATGGGGGGGGGGGGGGGGGGGGGGGGGAGGGGGGGGGGGGGGGGAGGTGGGGAGGGGGAAAGTGGTGGGGTGTGGGGACTGCGGAGGACGGCAGCATGCTCAGGCAAAGATAAACGACAGTTAAGTGCATGGAATGAGCTCATGTGAAATAAGGCGATCACATGACAGACAGGGACGATGAGATTTGGTAAAAAAACGAGATAGTGAAGGTGACAGACTTGCGGTGCAGCGGCTTGAGACCCTTCCAGAAGCTTTCCACAGACTGGTCAATACAGGAGCGAGCCAGCCATGCTGAAGTTGCCTGCAGAGAATGTATTGCGAGAATTGGTTCTCGCATCCATTCAGCTAATTCGCAATGTATTGCAGTTTCTCTCAACCTCACAGTTGAGACAGCATTCAGCACATTCGCGGTTTCTTGCAGCACTCACACACTGATGACAGCCCCAGAAGCGGAGCAGCCCACGCCATTCCAGGTGTCTGCGAGGCTGGTTTCGGCATTGCCGATGGTGCAGGAAGAGGCGGCGACCCAAGTGGAGTCGGTCACTCCCAGCGTTGACTTGATGCTCAGTAGGGCCGATGCTGGCATGGGAAGAGATGGGGAGTTGGTGGTGAGGATTTGTAGGAGGGGGGGGCAGAAAGAGGAGGAAGACGAGGACGAGGAGGACGAGGAGGAGGAGGAGGACGAGGAGGAGGAGGAGGTTTGGAACAGATAAAAGAGGAAGAGGTGTGTGAGTTTAGAATGGGGTTTGTAATTCAACGCACTTAGGACGTTTGAAGGGCACGGC